AGCAATCGGGTGATGAGACTATCCACGTTCAGCTCCCCGCCCACCATCTTGTCGGCACTCCCGTCCTGCCTTCCCTCCGCAGTGGAGCAAAAGCAAAAAGTGAAACTAAGGCAGGGGCGCGGGGCGGCGCCGGGATGTCCATGGTGCGCTCCCGGCCCGGCCCAGCCCAGCCTCCCCGAAGCCCCGGGTCCAGCAGGGCTCAGGCCGGAGGCAGCCGGAAGCGGGCCGGGCCGGGAGCCGCACTCCCAAATACTTTTATTTTTAAAGGAAATAATGTACACTGCATTGAAACAGATAAGGGAAAGAACTGTTTAAAAGGAACATATGATTAGATGATTTACATGAAAACAGTCTAGAATAAGAGTTGTACATGAAAACAGTCTAGAATAAGAGTTGCATAGCAAAGTGGACTGGGGAGGGGAGGAAATTGTGCAACAATGAAAGAATATTTTTTCAAAGAGAAAAGTGAACTAGTAGGGAGGAAAATGTGCAACAATGAATGAATGGAAATCCAAGTTCTCTACAAATCTTTGTTAAAAACCCAATTAAAATAAAAAGATCTTCACAAGAGTTTTCTTTCTGTACTGATGTTTTTAAAAACACTTTTAAAATTTCATACTGATTTATTTACAAAGTGCTCTTCTCCAACACAACTCAAAGCCACAGATTTTTCTTCTGTCATTCTTATTTTCTGTCTAGCTTGTAGACAAGTAATTGAAAAGACGATGGTCTGAATCAGGTGTAGAGTTGTCTACAACAGGTCTGAGAGTGGAGAATCAGAGAGACTTGGTAAAAGATAGACATAAAATAGTTGGGGAACAAGGGATGGAAGACTTCAAGAATCTTAAGTGGCTTTTTCAGTACAAGGAAAGCTTTTAAGCAAAATTTTCAAATGATTAACAGTATGCCATAAAACGGATAATAGCAGTTACAGCAGGGAGTAAAACATTTACTCAAGAACATTCTCTTAGGATAAACAGTCACCAGTGGATTTAGAAGGGACGTGATCCTAATGTTTACTCAGAGCCTCATTAACAGGTTTTTGTTTTAAGCATGCAAGTCAGTCAGTCACTCTTCAGGTTTTCCTGAGTCAGAATGGCTGAGTGGTTTAAGGCACTGACTCTGTTTATCAGTTAAACATGTCTTAGTTCACCCACTTGGTCACAGACCAAGTGATGAGCATGATTAAATGTTCTGGGATTCACACAGTTAAATGCCTT